TCCAAGACTTAAAAACAAAACTTATCCAATACACAAGTTCAACAAAGTCTCTAGCCAAAAAACTCAGAGAAGAGGTACACTACTTAGTTATTAGTTACAATTACATAACCTATAAAACAATTACATGATGACTAAAAACCTACTAACAGTGAAGCATACAATCACCCACAATTATTGGAACTATGCACTTGGGTAACTAGCATGAAGACGCCAATAGGTGGCAGTAAATAGCAGTATACGGGCAAACTAAAAGACCAGTGCAGGTGGCGTGACTTCTGCAGCCAAAACAATTTGTTTGAAGATAAGCAATTTGTTCTTTTTCCCACGAGAATACCCTACCATATAATGACTATGGGCAGAATCTGATATGGTATGTGGAGAAACATCTTGTGATGTCTGGGATTCTTTTCAACCTATGGACAGAGTGTGCTTTCTGGTATGACTTCCACCACTTGTAGACTTCATCCATAATCCTCCTGGCTTTGAAAAGCCAGGACAAGCATAACAAGTTGGGTCCAAGAGATTGTCAATGCCTTCTTTGGAGAGGGGTGTTCCTATCAGCTTGAAAGAGGCTGCAGCAGGCCCCTTTGTCCCAACAGTTTTAGACAATTATCACCCAGTCTGACCTTCCCTTTGTGGAGAAAGTGGTATGTTGTCAACTGCAAAGCACTCGAGGAAGCAGTTTATCTACGTAGATATATTTTAGTCTTGATTTTCACCTGGTAATGTCAAAAACTGCATCTGGTAGATGATGTCAGGACCTAGATAGGGAGAGTCCACCTCTCCTGGTCCTTTTCAACCTCTCAGCAGCTTTTCATATCAATCGTGGTATTCTGGACCCACTACAAGGACTGGAGGTTCAAAGCAGTGTTTCAGAGGTTTTGCTCCTGACTGGGCAGTCAGTACCAGTCAATGACAATGAGAGACAAGAAGTCAGTCTTGTTGACTTAGTTGTCAGTCTCACAGGGCTCAATTCTCTCATTCCTTCTGTTTAATGTCTGCATGAACCATTGGGAGAGGTCATCCATCAGTTCAGGGTAAGACTATCAGTATGCTGATGATACTCAGCTGTAGATCTCCACCCAGGTCCAAGCCAGAGATGCAGTGGAGGTCTTGAACCGGTATGTGGAGGCAGTTTGGATATGGATAGGATGAAACAGGCTTCAGTTAAACCCAGGTAAGACATAGTTGCTGTCTGTGCAGAAAGAAAATGTACTTTCTCCAATAATAATTCTTGAAGGGGTGACACTGCAAAAGATGGCCCACCCATCTTGTCCTGTGCAGACCTCCAACCAACCTCTTTTAAGGATCCTCCATGGGGCAGAGATGAGGGATGGCAGGACTCACAAGCCATTTAGCAGGCCCTATGTTACAGGGCCTCAAGATTAGACTGGTGCCCTTATTGCCAGCTTTCTGGGAACTATTAAAGACAGAGTTGTTCCGGAAGACCTTTGGGAAACGAATGGTCACCATCACTCACTGCTTTATATGTTTTTATTGGCTTTTATGCTTTAACATTTTATGTGATAAACACTGGTAGTCCTTTCTGTTGAATGTGGCAAATTAAATAAATGAATAGGAGAGGAACCACCAAATACAAGGTAGTCTCCAGAAACTCAAGGAACTCTGTCAGAAAAGCTACTGCTCAGAGGGAGGCGAGGCTTGTGAGAGATACCAAAAATATCTAAAAAGGTTTCTCACCATGAAGCATGAATGAAGAGTGGTCTGTTGCCATTTGCTAGAGTTCTTCAAACAGAAGCTGGACAGTCATCTCTCTGAGATCCCCTAGTGGATCCTGCACTGAGCAGGGGGCTGGATTAGGTGATCTCTACTATTCCTTCCAACTCTGTAACTCTGGTATTTATGAATTTCTGCTGTATCCTAAAATATACTTGGTACAATTATGTATTTTAAAAAGCCCATAGGTACAGGGATTGCCAGACTGGGCTTTGCAGTCCCAAGGAGAAAGGGTCACGAGCAGGGTCACGACCCTTAGAGGAGGGTCGCAAACTTTGCACTGGCAAAACAGGAGTGCAGTCAAAATTCATTCTTGCTTTGTCTGAGCAAATGCACAGCAGGCTTGCCCAGGCAACATAGAGAGGAAGACCCCAAGCAAGTTTTGACAGTGCCCCCATTTTGCCTTAAGGAAATGCCCAGAGCAGGTTGAGAAATGGCTAAGGCTGCGGGGTCCAACCATCGCTCAAAACCATCCACTTATGGTTTTCCAGCAGCTGTTGCCTTCCAGCATGGTTTTTGGAGTGTCTATCAGAAGGGTATATACAGTCCACCTCCCCTTAGACTCTCAGAGCAAAGAAGGATGATGTTACATATGTTCTGTCCGCATGTATGCAGTTTTATGTGACTTCAACCACAACTCCTCTTGGAGGCAGGGAGATTTCTCTGTTCCATGCGTATCATGTGCGCTGTACCATGTGTGTACCTCTGAGTCCCATTAGAGGGCAAAGCTGGTCACATACTGCCCCCAAGTGGCCAATAGCTGTGGGTTTGTAAAATTCAGCATCCACAGTATTCATTTTTAAATGTTAGTATTTACAGCATGGAACACATGTATTCAGTGGTTAGAGAAAAGTTACAGATCAACAGTCTATCCCTAGTGCTGATAAAAATAAGTCAAGAAAGTATAATGAAAATTACACATCTTTTAGTAAAACTATTTATTTCTTGCCCACCCTTAACCCCAATAGACAGAATAAATTAGTTTTATTCTAGGGTGGAGTCACACAAATTCATTTATTATTTGAGTCCAGAATTGCAGGATTAGCTCCCTGAATTATTAAACTATATTTTCTCTGGTAATCAGTGCGTTTTGAATATGATCTCTTAATGCTCCCACTGCAGGCTTCTTCCTACTTTGGGTATCATATGGTGAATGGTCAGGAGATAATTCTAGCTCAGCCAAGCAACCATCTGAAGATTCTGTCTGTAATGATCTGAAACGGTAATTATCTGTAATGATCTGAAAACTAAACTGAAGATTGTGGGGTCCTTAATGAGCCCCTTGAAGAAGAATGGCAAAACAGAGAAATAGATACTGTATTTACCAAACGAAAGGGATTCTGAATCTAAGACGCTCTCTCTC